GACACCTTTACATCTACAATGTGGATCCTCAGGATGGAGGGGAATGCGTCTTAATCAAAACCCACAGGTGAAGATTCTAGTTGCCAAACAGCTGTCCAGGAACAGGTGTGCAGAGCTGTCTCTGCTGGGGACAGCGACCCGCTCCAGTGTTCTTGCTGCTCTTGCTCCCTCCTGGCAGTCTCTGTGGCAAGGCCCCAGCAGGCTTTGCTTCAGCTCAGTCCCACGGTCAGGTACCCACCCCCAGTCCCCTTTGGGACAGCACCCAGATACATAGCGTAATACCACAAATGAGATGTCCCCCTAACACAGCCCTTAGGAACACAGTGAACAGTCAAAAATGTTCACAGAATCAGATTTCAGAGTTCCTAAAATCCTGTGACATATGCAGGCTGACCAGTGGTGGACCGGATACTGTGAGCTGCCACGGCACCTCACCCACGACCTTGTGAGCATATCTTGGTGTTCTTGCCCAAATCCACCCGAAGAGCAGAGGGCAGGGCTTTGCCTACTGGTATAAGGGATGGATCGTGTTGAAGGGGCCTGGCTGACCTCCTTGGGTACATGCTGGTCTTACAGCATCCGGGCAGGTCTGTAATTTACCCTCAAATAGCAAAACAGCAGAGCGCAAGCCCCCTTGCCCTTTTCAGCGCGAAGGTGTTCTGGAGCTGTGCTGACTTCTTCTCTTCTCTCTTAACTGCTGCGAGCAGCTTGCTCAGCTCAGGAACAGCAGACGAAAACAAAGAGAACGACCTCAAACCTTCCTTACCTCCGTCTTACGCAGCAACTGTAGCAAGGCCCAGCACATCTGCAGCCTCCACTGTGCCAGGTGAGTGGCTGGTTGTGGGGGGGGGCGGGGGGCTCCTATGGGGCTGCCTTCTCCCCACACTGGTGTCTCAGGATGAGCACTCTCCATGGTTACTTCCTCACTGTGAGGCCAGGTAATAGCCTGCAACCTCGGGTCCCTAACACTGGAGGATGTAGCCCAAGGCTGGTTTCCTTCCACCCTCTCCTTTCTTTCTTTTCTTTCTTCTTCCCTCCCTCCCTCCCTTCCTTCTTTCTTTTTGGTTTTCTTTCTTTCTTAAAGACAGGGTCTCACTGTGTAGACCAGGCTAGCCTGGAACTCACAAGGATCCATCTGCCTCCGCCTCTGGGGCCAAAGGCACCAATTAATAAACAATAACAATAACCTTTACTTCTTGAGAATTCCAAAGAGCTGGACTTGCAGATGGGAGGCGGGAGAGACCTGCCCGCCTCTCAGGGCTCAGGGACTAGATAGTGAGAGGATTTCGACTCCCCTTGAGCCATCCCTCTATTTGGGAGACAGAGATGCACCCAGCATGGCCTCCATGCTCCCCCTTTCAGGTCCTGACCCTCCAGCACTCCCCGCGGGGTGCCACCTGTTCCATTTCTAATTCTTGCCTCCAGGTTACTCTGAGGATGGTGGGGCACTCCGCGGAGAAGTTATTCCGGAACACGAGTTTGCCACGGGACCAGTGTGTCTTGACGACGAGAATGAGTTTCCCCCTGTGAGCATTCGGAACCCTTAACAGAGTTGCGCCATCTGTGTGCCTGGAAGAAGGAAGTGCCTCCCACAAGAGGCAAAGTCACTGCCCCTGCTCTTGCTCCTAACCACTAATCTTCCAAATGCAGAGAGTCATAGGACACCCACCTTGCAGGTTCAGATGCCACGGGCTAGCCAGCTGGTGTGATGCTTGGAGCCTGGCAGCATTGCCATAACCAAATACTAACCTGGGTCACCATGGACCCAGACTCCTTCCTTGCCTCTGCCTCTATGTGTACACTGCCTTTGCTGTTGGCGAGGTCGGGGTTTCCGAAGCGTCTAGGAATGCCCTTGTAGAATGCTGCCTGTTACTTGTTATGGTCAGTTAAAGGGGCCAGGTCATGTCCTGCAGGAACTGACCTGCACCCTGCCTGCAGCTCTGGCATTGCACTCTTAAGCATTGCACTCACCAGGAAACCGCGTGTACAAAGCCAGTGTGGGTGGCATTAGCTCACCTGCACACCTTCAGCAAGGTTCCCTGGCATCCAACTTAGGCTTGCTGGCAGTGAGAGACGCCAGGGGTGCCTGAGCACTGGACTTGGCTTCCACCAGCAGCTGGAGGAAAGGTCCGTCAGGGCTTCCTTGGCTGCTGCATCTTTAAGCAGTGTGCACCCCTCCTGTGAATGTGAGTTAGAAGGCATATGAGTGAGTAGAGATGCGGCTCAGTTGCCAGAATGCTTGGCTGTGCATGAAGCCCTGGGTTCAGTTCCCAGCAGCACAGAAAACCGAGCATGGTCCTGCGCAACTGTAATCCTAGTAGTTGGGATTCAGGCGTATCAGACGTTCAGGGTTATCATCTTCGCTACACAGTAAGCTCAAGGCCAGCCTGGGCTATATGAGTCCTTGTCTCAAAAAAAAAAAATCCCAATAGGCGACTTGAGATCATTTCAGATGGATACAATGCCATGTCAGAACTTAGGGAATAGAAGGGGCGTGGTCCTGTGGGCCCTGAAGTGGGTGAGGCCCCTTTCCGTGTAAATAGGAGGTATTTGTGACTTCCATACTGGTTTTGTAGCTTGCAGTTTGAAATTTACATTTTTGGACTTTCATGGCAAGTTGCCAAATATATTGCCGCCAAGTGACAGTTATATATTAATGGTGGGAAGGAGTAGTTCTTTAAAAAGAAAAAACTAATTGTGCATTTTACGACAGCTGTTGGCCTACTGCCTAACAGTTGCTGCCCTGACCAATGGTGTCTGTGGGCTCCCACGATGCCCCCCAGAACTATTAGGAGATCTTATGTCTTCTGAAAGTTAATGGCTATATTTAACTATTTAACTGGTATCACATCTTCCAGGAGCCAGAGAACTCTAGGTCAGAACAGTGGGGACAAACATGACCAGAGCATCCTATTCTGCCAAGGTCTGATGCTCACTCAGTTCTGTTTTGGCAATTTTGGTAAAGCTCTGAGACTGCAGTGGAAGATTGATACATCTCGAACTAGTCTTCGCTGTAGTCGGAGCAGAGCTTGCAAGCTTTCATGTTTACAGAAGTTGAGTAATATGAACCCTGGCATGTAGGAGGTGGCTCCTTGCCAGAGGAATCCTGTATAAAATAACCCCGAGTAAGCCATTTTCCTGGGGGTGAGGAGAATCAGACACTCGATTTAAGAAGGAGTGTTGAAGGGTATGGATTAATGATGGGATATATGCCTAGCATGTAAGAGGCTCTGAGTTCCATGCTCTCTCTCACACACACACACATACATGCACACACGTACATGCATGCACACCCCAAACTACTAATGTTCACATGCTCACCTAAACACTGCCAGGACATCAGGTACAAGCCAACTGTCCTTTCCCCTTCTCAAGGAGCAAATTTGTGTTCAGTTGGCTTAAACTGCATTTAGATTCTTGGCTAGGCTAGGGATATGGCTAGCTTAGGAAGCCGTGGGCGCTGGGTCCATCCCTGGCATTAAAAAAAAAAAAAAGTTTATACACAAGAAATTCCCCCTGCCAGTAAGTGCTTGTCAGAAAACAAGTTCCCAGAACTATTCGAGTTCAGCTAAGGTGGCAGGCACAGCCTCTGGGTGCCTGTAGGTATTGGGTGTCATGGTGGCCGCCAGGCCCCTCCTATCCCACAACCTGCAGGCAGATGGAGAAGAGGAGCCAGTGTTCCAACCAAAGCCCTGGGTCAGCAGCAGGCAGGGTTCTCTATCTCGAGGCACAAGGAGCAGAAGTGCTGCCGGGCTGCCATTCAGTGCGGCCATGTCAGCCATGCCCCAGAGCCTTGCTAGGAAAGCCCCGCTCCCTGCCCGTGTTCTGAATTGCATGCCTCTTGCAGATATTTCCCAGAATCCCTGTCTTTACTCACAATTCGTTCCCGAGACTACAAAAGGATCGGCTTAGCCAAAATCACTTCCCTTTCGGGTAGGAATAGTGAGCTCACTTTACAAAGTAGACTGCCACTGCCCTCCCTCCCAACACCACTGTCCTCTTTGGGACTGACTTCGCCTCAAGACCAGCAAGAGGAAAGCCAGCTGCTCATCTCTCGTACCCTGGGAAGAGGCTTTAAGGAGGGCCAGCAGCTTTTGCTCCGTTAGCAAGCCAGCATGCAGTCTGTGCGCTCTGACACAGTATTAGCCCTGTGAGCAAAAAGAACAGCGACTTGGACCAAGAACCTGTGCTGACACTGTTCTTTCTACAGTCATTTAGCAGTCAGTGTTTACAAGTAAGACGAGCCTTTCAAAAGAAGAATTGCGCATGTACATACGAGCACACGTGTGCACACATGCAGTTTTTAAAACAGTGTTGCTGGGATCTGTGCCACAGTTGTCCACACCAATGTAAGATGGGTGGATTTTTCCGTGGTCATGAGTGACCACCAGTCTGGGGCCATATAGAAAAGTTTCAAAAGGCCCAGCCTCCCTTGCTAATCCGCATAGCACAGACCCCTGGGTAACCCAGCCTGCCTCCCCTGCCTCTTCATGAGAGGAGTAAGGCCATTCTGTTTTGATTTTGGTAGATAATCTTGTGCCGCGGAAGTCAGAAGGGCAAAGCGAAGCAGTCCTGACAAGAAGCGCACCCCGAAGTCAGGACACCCCCAGTCGGGTGGTTCTGGCGAGAACAAGGACAGTGGAAGACACGGAGTGCAATCAGTTGTGTGAGCAGAGAGGGGAGGGAGGCAGGGGTCCTGAGTGCCTTGCTGCCTGAGCCGTAGCACATGGTCAGCCCCCCACCCAGCCCCCTCAGCCTTGGCTGCCAGTGGGGGAGGAGAATGCTGGAGTCACATACCTTCAAACCACAGTGTAAATGCTAACTAACCATATTGGTATATAGCCGGAATTTTATATATATTATAAGGGTGTCCTTGTCAAATGTATGCTGTGTAAAAAAAAATGTACTTAGTGGGAAATCTCTTTGAATTGTGTTTCTTGTATATTACAGACATATAGAGAGAGAAACTATTTTAGCCAGGCAAAGTATTTTTGCAGTGATTGGAATAAATCGTTTATTACCCTTGAGTCCCATTCAGGACACTAATGAAATAAAATCATGGCAATGCATTTGTGAGTTGTTTACATTTTTTTTGTTTTATTTCTTAGAAGTTGTAGAGACTGGGAAGAAATCTTAAATCTTATTTTAAGAGATTTTTTTTTTACTATATGAGTGTTTTGCCTACATGTATGTATGTATGTGCACCATGCACATGCCTGAAATTCTCAGAGACCAGAGGAGAGTAGTGAGTCCCCTGTAACTGCTGTTAGAGTTTAAGCCACCGTGTAGGTGTTGGGAACAGAACCCAGGTCCAATGCTCTTAGCTGATAGGCCAGCTCTCCAGCCCCAAACTCCTAAATCTTTATAGCCTTCCCATTTGGCATTTACAAGAGAGAAGGCCCATGAGTTCTTCTGCTCCAAGGCCCGGGAAGACCTAGCTTCGGTTTAGCTCTGTGCTGCTCAAGGCATCTCAAAGGAATCCAGCAACACTGTAGTCTCCCAGACCTTCCTCCAGATCCCCTGAGCCAGATTCTGCTCAGACCCTGGTGGTCTGTGTGTGTACTGGAGATGGCCAAGCAATGCATACCAGCTAGAATGTTTGTGCTCCAGTGACCGGGGGAACTGGGCACACAAGATAGAAAGTAAAACATTAAGGACCCCTTGGTGCTGGGGACATACACAGGCAACTTCACGTGTTAACTTTCAAAATCAATTTGCAATTGAGATTTAAGTCATCGCCCAAGCTTAAAACCTAGGGCTTGGACCTGTGGCGCAACTCCGTGTGCCCACTGGTGCTTAATCCTGCCGTGCCCAGTGTGCCCACTTGACGCGTCTCAAACCCGCATGTGGAGGGGGCAGTCTACACAGGGAGAGGAAAAGCCATGGCTTCCAAACCAGATTGTGCAACCTCCTTCCTAAAATAGACATCTAGTAGTTTGGAAGTGAACCTAACCTGTCTACGATTTCCAGATAGTCTTTCTCATAGGGGAGAAAACACCCATCACACTGTTTGGCAACGGCAGGCAATTTGGTAGGGGTTACAGCAGGGAGTCGCTGAAGGATCCTGAGAGTAGTCTGCTCGGGAGACATTGTCATCAGCAATGTCTCGAAGGACGTCGGCCAGAACGCTGGTGACTTTCGGCAGCACTGCCTGGTACTCGGGGCTTCCTCTCTGTAGGGGCATGGCTTCTGCAGCATCATCTTCTAGGTTGAAAATGAGAGGGGAAGCGTGGCGCTGCTCAGGACCCGTGCTCCCGTCACAAGCTTTGGCTCCACCTACAGGAAGGATGGCCAAAGTGGTTAAACCCAACCTTCACCCTGAGCTGTGGTTCACAGGCCAGCCCTGGAGATTCAAATGATTGTTCTCCCTGCCAGAAAAATTACCTTGAGATTGTAGTCTGTCTTTCCAGTAATGATTTTCTGTCCAAAGGAATTAGGTCTGCCCCCTTGGACTTGCCTTCCATCTGAACCAGTAGACATCTGTTTCAAATATCTTTCGTCTCTGGCCTTTGAGAGGAAATCTCATGGAGTTTTTAAAAATGGAATTGGGGGAAGAAGGGAGCCACAGGACACACACGGAGGTCAGACAACTTTGTGGAGTCAGTTCTCTCCTCCCACTGTGAGTCCAAGCAATCAAACAAACTCAAGTTTCCAGGTTTGTGTGGCCAGAGCTTTTTACCCACCAAGCCATCTTACTGGCTCCTAAATCTGACAGTTTTTGAATTCCGATTCCTCCAATGGTGATTGTTGAGTTTGATGGATGTCAAGATGGTCCATTTCCCTGAGCCGAAAAGGATGTTATATCACCCGAGTGCTATGTGCCAGGATGACAGGTGTCTACACCCTTGCCCAGTTTGAGGACAGGCTTACGACAGAATATAACTGTGATTAGAAGGGCTCAGCTGTGGTGTGTTCTCACCTCCAGACGACAGCACAATGCCACAGCTCAACTCAGCAAAAACAAATCTAGAAGGACCAAAGCCAGCACTCCAGAGACACGGCTTTCTGGTTCGATATGGACGGGAATGAAATGGGAACTCTCAAGAAGAATGAACCGATCCCACAGCCTTCCACAGCTCAAAGCCTCCGTTATGAGTCTCCTCCCATGATGGGCACTTGGGTTCAGAAGGAATTACCATCTTTGTCTAGAGTCGACAAAAATTTGACTATCACCAGCAAGGAGCACTTGAAGTTACACAAGCCCTGACAGTCAATCAAGCAAAAGCTGGGAGAGACTCATAAAAGTCTCATTGAGTATGGTGACACAAGCCTTTAATAGCAGCATGTGGGAGCCAGAGGCAGGCAGATCTCTGTGAGTTTGAGGTCTCTTGGAGATAGAGACAGACAGACAGACAGATCCAAGCTGGAGTATTATCCAAGATGGGGCATGGTGGAGCATGCCTGGAATCCAGAGGTGGAGATCAGGAGTTCAGGACCAGCCTCGGCTACAAAGTATATTGAGGCCAGCCTGAACTACATGAGACTTAATCTTTAAAAACAATTATAAAACTAACACCATAACCGTGATGGATGGATAAGCACACACACAAAAATGCTTACTACATGAACCAAAACCCAAAAGCCAGTCAGACCCTCTGAACATCCACAAAGAATGGTACAGAGGCCACACGTTAGCCTCTACATGTATACCACGACACACAGACCTGCAAACACACTACACATCACACACACTCACAACAAATCTCTCTTAAGGCAAGAGTACACTAGTGTGCTTTGAACCACCATCCTCTAGCTAGCAAAATCAAATTCTGGGAGACATATTTTAGCAAAGCAATAAAAACATTGTAGTGGAATAAGCAAGACAGGCAGAGGCGGCAAGGGACTCAACCCTGCAGAAAGGAAAGGCACACGGGATTGGACCTGCTAGGTTGTGTCACCGTGCTCCCTGCCCCGCCCCCAGGGAGGGCCACACAAGCAGTGTGGAGCAGGCAGAATTCCAGAGAAAGGCTGAGGCGATGATGATGGAAAACAACAGGTGAAACCTCAGAGGAAGATAGCTGTAGAGCACAAGCCTCAAGTCTTCATATGAACTTCTGTGGATCCATATGAACTGCAGAACAGCGAGGGCTGTCTTGAAGAACCCTGTCTTGAAAAAGAGAGAGAGAGAGAGAGAGAGAAGGAGAAAGAGGAGGAGGAGGAGGAGGAGGAGGAGGAGGAGGAGGAGGAGGAGGAGAGCACGCACGCACACCGGCAACTGGAAGACCAAAATAGCAGGTGCTTTTGTGCTTCTGTAACCACACGGAAGAAAGGTGTGGAGCGCTGTTAAATGACAGAAATGAGCCAGGCATGGTGGCACAAGTCTAAAACCTCAGCCCTCGAGACAGAGACAGGAGGACCAAGAGTCCCAGGCCAGCCTGGCCTATATAGCTCACGACTATCCTGAATTACAGAGTGAGACCCTCTCTCAAGAGAAAAAAAATGTAGATGTGAAAAAGCAAAAGAAAAACAAAACTCTCCCTCTTATTCACTACTGACAACCCCCACAAAGTTCAGGAGAGGAACAGAAATCAGAGCCTGGGGTTAGAGACTTTTCTAAACTGAAGGGCAAAATCTGAAAGGTAAATCCTAAGGACGTACAACAAAGCCGTCCCAAGTTCAAGGGAATGAACCGCAATTGCCTTCCCATGCTAATAAAAGCCAACACCCAGTAGTCAATCTCCACAGTATTCACCAATGCTTGCCACGATCCGATCACCAGTGCTCACAAAAACAGTGGGTGGAGGTGGAAGCCCACCTGTAATCCCAGCACTCGGGAGGCAGAGACAGAATCTTTGGAGCAAGCTGGCTGAATCAGTGAGGTCTGGGTCCAAGTGAGGAATTCCACCTACGGTATAGGATGGAGATTAAAGAAGGAAGGTGCTTGATGTAGAAAACACCCAGGCACACACGCACACATGCACGCACACACACACACACACACACACACACACACACACACACACACACGTTATAAGAGAAAAGGAAAAGGAAGAAAGACGACTTTTGGAAAGGCGGTAGGGAGGAAAATCCATGGGCTTCCCTAGTTCTAGGCTCCACACCAAAAGACTGGCTATCTTCCAAGGCCACTCCATGCTCGAGGCCACAACAGCATCTCCCCATCATGGAAGAACAAATTGTTCTCCATCCTGACGGAGTAGGTGCTCACTCATAGGTACTCAATCTCTGCCTCATCTGCATTTCCCAAACACAGTTTTAAGTCATTAAGATGCAAACTTTTAAAAGGCATTGGGGAGGATCCAGAAAATGGCAGCATCTCCCCCCCCCCTTTGCAGTTTTCCTCAGATGCGGCCAGCGTTCAGTGTCCCCGTCCCCACCCTGGCTCTTTCGAGTTTGAGATTGTAATTCCTGTCTGCCTGTGATCACTTTACACGGCCCTATTACTTCATGGTAAGGTTTACGATTCCAGTACTGTGGTGCCAAGGGCTTTGTGGCAGGGTTTTCCCTGCATGAAATCAGTGCAGCCTGGAGGGCCCATGCCTCTGAGATCATGTAAGGTAAGGGGCTCTGACCCCGAACTGTCCCTTAGACCATAGCAAAGATCTGACTGTTTTGTCTGAGGTTTAGGAACCACAGATTCTTGGATCGTTTCTAAGGTCCCTGGAGCTATGAACTCGAAGGGCTTGTTCTGGTTTTGCAACCACATTTTATACTCAGAAAACAAATTTCGTAGGTTTTTTTTAAAAAAAAATATATAATTCTTTGAAAATCTCCAGCATGAAATAACTGAACCAAACTGAAATCTCCATTGAGTCCTAGCGGGAGTTTCTCATCTATTTTTGTTTTGTTTTGTTTTTCATTGATTAACTTCAAAATGTTAGGGTTCTAACAAAGAGCAAAATCCTGGGACAAGCATTTCAAGACAGTTTAATTTTTTTAATTTTCATTTTGTTTGTGTACACACATGTGCACGTGTGTGTATGCTTGTGCATTGGTGTGTGTATGTGTGGTGTGCGCGTGTGTGTGTATGTGCATGCGTATGTGCATGTGTGTGCGTGTGTGTGTGTGTCTATGCCACAGCAAATATGTAGAGGTTAAAGAACAACCTACAGGGTGGCTCTCTCCTTTCACCATGTGGATGCCTGGGGTCAAACTCACATGGGCAGGCTTGGAAGCAAGTACCTTGGCCCCGCTGTGCTAGTAAGTTTTTGTTAATTTGGCACAAGCTAGAGTTTGGAAAAGAAAGTTCCCTCATTCAGAAAGAGAGAACCTCAATTGGAAAAAAATAAAAATAAAAAGATACCCCCATCGGGTTGGCTTTTTGGCAAATCTGGAGGGCAGTCTCTTGATTGCTGACTAGCATAGGAGGGCCCAGCCCACCAGGGGTGGAGACACCACCGGGCAGGTGGTCCCAGGAGGTGTAAGAAAGCAAACCAAGCAAGGCACAGAGAGGAAGTCAATAGACAACATTTCTCCATGTCCTCTGCCTCGGTTCCCGCCTTGAGTTCCTATCCTGACTTCCCTCTGTGACGAACTTGGGACGTGTAAAACAAATACCCTTTTCTCCCCAAGATGCTTTGGGCCACGGTTTTCATTACAGCAGTAGGAAGCAAGCTGGAAGACCACTAAGCCACCTCTCCAGCCCATGTGACATTTCTAAGGTACATCTGCAAGACAGTCACTGAGTAGACCAAAGGAGTAGGGAGGCTTCTGTCGGTCTGCTATGTAGACTTTTACCATTCATTGCCAAGGAATAACGTTTTTAAGGGTCTCTGAGCTCCTGTTTCATCAGCAGCCAAAGTGGCATTTAAAGCCTAATTGGCAGCAAACCGTTCTCCATGTGATAAGGAGGGAGAGAGAAGAGGCCAGAGCCCTGAGCCTGCTGCAGGAAGGCCTTGTCTCCTTTTTGATGGTTTCAGAATGCCCTCATGCCCCTCAGGTTCAGTCGGCAGAGTCAGAGGTGCACGCTGGAAGCTCCTCAAAAAAGAGAGCCATACCCCCTCTCACAGGGAACTCCCAAAGTGTACACATGGGAGGTTTCACTTACCAGTAATGAAGAAGGCCTTGTGATGGTCCAGGCGAACGGTCTGCAGGGCGCCGTACTCTCCAGCCGCCCCACTGTTGGGGTGGAACAGCACCTGAGAGAGAGAGAGTAGCTTGGGTCTAAAAACGCCATGCGGGGCCAGCAAGACCGCACCGCAGGAAAACTTGTCTGACGTGCAAGCCTGACAACCTGAGCTCGATCCCAGGAACCCATCTACAAAGACCTCACCTCAGCAAAGTGCAAGGGCAGAACCGACTCTCCAAAGTTGTCCTCTGACCGCCACAGCCAGATGGAGCATGAATAATAAAAACCCAGAGACAGATATAGGGGTTCAAGCTGAAGATCAGAGAAGCAGAGCAGTAAGCCACTAGAGAGACCTTTTACCTCTACCAATGCTCAGACCGCAGGGATGATCCTCAGACAGCCTCGACTGCAGCGATTCCACCAAACCTCAGACTCCACACACCAGTGAGTTACAGTCTCTTCTCCTTTATATTCCTCTCCCCACCAAACCATATCACTCCTGTCTCCATTTCTCTAGTGCTGGGATTAAAGGCATGAACCACTACCACCTGGATCTGATTCCTAGCGTAGCCCAGGGTAGCCTTGAACTCAGAGATCGGACTGCCTCAGTCTCCCTGGGATTAAAAGTGTGTGCCTACACTCCCTGGCCTCTAGAGGCTTAGCTCCACACTCTGATCTCCAGGCAGGCTTTATTTATTAAAATACAAATAAAATATCACTCAGCCAGATGTGGTACATGTGCCCGCCCCCCAAAGCACATACTACATACATACCTATCTACACTAGAAAGAAAATCATGCTAGGTGCCATGATCCCTACCCATACCTCTAAAATACTTACTGTCAAGCACAAGCCTGTGGCTGATGGGGGCCAGCTCCTGGGAGCCACTATGAAGCTGTCATTTCACTAGGGGCTTAGGGGAGGGGGATGGTCTACAACTCTGAGAAGCCAAAAGATCTCACTGGGTTAGGTTCATGGGCCCAATGCTGGCTCTGTAATCCGCAAGGTTTGCGTGTCAGGGACCGGTGCTTTCTAACTTTACAAATTAAAAATTCCAACACAGCCACAGCAATGTTTTAAACACAGGTCAGGGCCCTTTTCTGGAGAGGGACTTCTTATAGCTGCTTGGGTCATACACCCAGGAGTCCCAGGTGCAGAAAGCAGCCTGCAAACAAGATGGCTTACAGATATCCTGGGGCTGGTGATGAAGCTCTGGCTCCTTCATCCCCAGATTGCCTCTCGAGATCTCTTCAGCAAGAATGGCATGAAAAGTGTGGGATTTCTCCAGCACCAAGCATAGCTTTGCCTCTGGACTTTTTATCACAGTGCTGGGGATAGAACCCAGGCCCACACAGAAGCCAGGCACACACTCTACCTCTGAGTTACGGCTCCAACCCAAGCCTAGCCTGAACACAGACACCTATGACTCAGTCCCACTCTGCTGCTGAGGAAATCTTTCCTGATTCAGTCAGACATGGCAGAATTACCCTCAAGAGCGGAAACACCTAATTCAGAGGTCCCGAGGGAAGGACTTGGTAGGAAATAAAAGGCCAGCATCCTTGGTAGGTTGGTGGGTTTGGGCTGGAGGCATGACACTGCCCTGGTATGAATCATGTCCGTATATATCGCTGGGAAGGAACTTACATGAATCAAAGTTTCCGTGGGGCTTGGGGAAAAAATAATGAGGAACATCTGTTTGAGAGGGAAACAGCTGCCCCCCCCCCCACACCCGCAGTTTCAGTACCCTGAGAGGATGCTGCCCTGGGCAAGGCTCCCCCACATCTGCTGCTTCCCTGCCCCTCCCCATCAAACCTACCAGCACCCCCAGCAGGCTTCCTCCAAAGAAGAAAGGAAGTCATTACTGAAAACCTCACTTCTTCCATCCCCAGAGAGCCACGCCCGTCACAGCCGAACACCTCTTTGCTTCCTTGAGATGGGCTTGGAGGTGGGGAACACAGATGAACACAGGACCTGGACCATCCAGAGTCTCCCATCTGTGTTATGTTCAGACCCTCCCCCCTCCAGAAGACACAGTCAAGGTTGGTCTCTTCAAACCGTGGTATCATTTGGGGCTCAGTAACAGCACCTCCCGAAGAAGAGGCTGCCACATTCGAAAGGTGTAAATGGCCCTAGCGGAAACTTCCAGAACCCGAGAAACAAAACTGGGCTGGCTTGTTCTTAGAGTTAGGGGTGGGTTTCGAGACACTCATATAAGCCACCTGCTTGGAGCAGCTCGTTGGCAACATTATTGTTTACATAAACATGGAGAGAAGGCTGTAAGTTTACACGCAATCATGGCTACATATACTTCCTCTCCAGACGTCTGGGCCACAGTTCAGAGCCGAGTGACTTTATCTTCCGCAATCCTGCACAGATTTCCCAGTTCCTTTTCTTTCCTGTGTTCTGGTCTGCTTTGCTACAGTTTTGTTGTTTTGTCAAGCATGGGAGTGTCACCCTGCACCCTGTATTACCTCCTGAGGTGTTCTCCTGCACTAAATCAGGCTGGGGCGTATACAGCTTCAAGTCTCCAAAAGCAGGGGTAGGGGAGAGGGGTGTCAGCCTTCTGCATGTCTCTCTCATGACACATATCACCACTAGGGGCCCCTCTAAGAGAAGTGATGGCTGTTCATGTTTCTATAATGTATGGCTTCTGTTGTGCCAAAATGTTCAAAGCCCACAGCTAGCCCATACTGGAGTAGAGCATGCAAATGCAGAGGTGTTGAGGAAACCTTCCCTTCAATGACAATATTTGGACCTGGTCATGAAAGACATGACTTGACCACTCATGATGTCACCACCTCCAGCTTCCATTTTGGAATCAGGAGAATGGAAAAAGTGGGTCACTAGGTTCTGGAATGGGTACCCCTCCCCTCTCAGGCTCTCAGTCCTCACTGCTATAGATATGAATAATTTGCATTGGTATGGATCTTGGTTTATTGATAGAAATTTGAGGTCAATTTTGTTATATGTCTATTTCTGCTCTTGGTTAAGGTATTGTGTTTGTGCAGCTCATTTAAAAATTTAATGTTTAGGGAGCTGGAGAGATGTCTCAGAGGGTAAGAGCATTGCCTGCTCTTCCAAAGGCCCTGAGTTCAATTCCCAGCAACCACATGGTGGCTCACAACCATCTGTAATGAGGTCTGGTGCCCTCTTCTGGCCTGCAGGCATACACGCAGAAAGAATATTGTATACATAATAAATAAATAAAAATAAAAAAATTTAATGTTTAATTAAGAAATATAGGTAAATAGAGAGTCATCTATAATAGTCAAGCTTGTAGTCATGTTAGTTAATTTTCTAGATGTACAGAGATTATTTCAGATGGATAGGCGTTTTTAAAACATTTCAAAGGCTACAGAATATGGCATTTAAAATGTTTAAGAACTTAGAACTTTTCATGACAGTGAGACATATCTGTTTCTGGCAGCACCAATTACTTCAAGAGGAAGATGGGCATTGAAGAGGCTCCTTATGGAGTTGGTGAGCCATTTGAGCAAGAAACTGTTCTTGCCTGGACTGTTTGATAGTATGAGGTGTAAACTGGACATGCAGGACCCACAGAGAAATGATGGCTGAACTTGCCTAAAGGTGAAACGGTCCTTCAGGGTTCCTGCTTCATGAAAGAGTCTGCCAGGACACAGAAGAAAGTGGCTGACAAACTGCCAATATATGCGGAACTGTCTTTGAAATTTCCTGATTCATGGAAAAGTCTGCTGGATAATATGGGTCTATAGACTGAAGATGGATACCCCAACAGTACAGAAGAACTTTGGGTGACTGTCCAGGCAGCGAGATGTCTCTGTCAATTCTACAGTTTTGGAAGTTGCTTACAATGCACTTTCTATTTACTTAGGTAATATTGTATCCTTCTGGAGTCTTTGATGGAGTTGAAGAATTGGTAGTTAAAGTTTTCCTTAGTTATGATAAAAGATAAAGTAGATATACATATTGTAACTATAATTCTTGTTTGATACCTGTTTTGTTATATGTAATTTTACTATGTTAAAGTTAAAAGCTTCCTTTTTTATTTAAACAGAAAAGGGGAGGTGATGTGGGATTTCCCCTCTGTATGCTGTGAATACCATTGGTTAATAAAGAAACTGGCTTGGCCTGATAGGGTAGAACTTAGGTAGGCAGGGAAAACTAAACTGAATGCTGGGAGAAAGGAGGTAGAATCAGAGAGAAGCACAAGACAGAGCTAGTGTCCATGGGAGACCTGACAATGTCAAGAAGATCATTATTCTATTAGTAGCCATGACAATAAACACTGATGGGCACCCATACACAGAAGTCTTGGCTATTGTGGCTAGGAGTCATACATCACTTCTGACTTAAGGCAGAAAATCTCTTCCTGTGTCAGGCTGCTCCTGAAGAGGGCCAGGCCTGGAGAACCTACAGCTCTACGGAGAGAGACGTTTGAGAGTGACCCAAGACTCCTCAGAGGACTGCTCGGGTCTGATCTGCCAAGCCCTGAGAACTTCATCCGAACGTGTAGAAGTGCAGAGGTCCACTCAAGGCCCGGCTTTGACTGACGTGGAAAGGTGCCTCAGTGCCCACAAGCACATTTGAACCACTCCCATGTGACCCCCTCAAAGACATAAATAGACCCTTTGAAGCACAAGTCTCCACCTGGTTTGCCGGGTGCTCACTGGACTTTACTCAGGGGTCCCCAAGCTCCTCCAGCCCCCGCACCCCCTGCTACTTCCTCTTCCTTTTAGTAAATGGAAAACTCATAGAAGTGGCAGGAAAAGTCCTCAGGATGGACATTTCCTGGCTGCTATTTGGTGCTTGGGAGCACTCTAAGGAGGAGACAATAAGGAAGGGATCCTGGACCACAGAAGCCCAGCAAGTGCCACTGAGTCATGGCCCGGGGCTGCCAATTCAAGAATATTTATGGTGACACATACCGACCGGCTATCCCAGAACTTAAGAGGCTGAGGCAGAAGGGTTGCAAGTTCCAGGTCAGCCTGTTGCAAGAGGGTCTTTCAAAAGTAAGCAAGTAAACAACAATAGAACAACAGGATGAGAAGAGTGTGCTGAGCCCTCCCGGAGCAGGGAGAATGCTGGGAACATAGTGACCTTGCTGACTTTCATTCATTCATTCATTCATTTGTTCGCTCATCCACTTTGCATGCAGCACTGGTTGCCGGCTGGGTACGGATGCTGCTAGGTACATAAAAACTGAAATCTGAACCCAACAGATGGGTCTTTTGCCCCCAGAGAGCTTCCCTTCTAGCTGAGCCTACAACTGCACAGGCATCTTGTCCAACAAAGATGTGCTGAGTGACCAAGTCATGTCAGAAAATTAAATGCACGCGGAAAAAAGAAACTAAACCTTAGACACGCATAACTCTACCCTAAGCCAAAACGTTAAGTAGAAATTTTGATTGGCAAACTTAATTACTGGAAGCGGTTCATCTCTAAATTCTTCACTGGGAGTTTTTACAGAGAGTCGGCGCCAGCCATTGGCACGCACCTTCTGAGGGGCCCTTTGCATCAAGGTAGCAGGTGTGAGATGTGAGACACAGCCCAGACACAAGCCTCCTCCACTTACCCTGTGCCCCACCTGCGACCTGCCAAAGAGCACCTTGGAGGCATCAAGCCCGTCGAAGTTCCGGTTGGGAGGCAAGCTGGCTCCCGCCAGGGCTATCGCCGTGGGGAAGATGTCTAGTATGCTGCAGAAAGAGCAAGATACGGTTTGTCTCAACTCCTCCAACTGTCCCTCGCTCTCCTGTGATCAAACCCTACCCTTAGCAGCACTGAGCAGAAGCAGAAAGCCCACATTGTCTGTCTCCCTTTGGGATTCTACCTGGATTCCTGCTACAAGAGGCAGGGGGTGGTCAGATTTTATATAGGCTCAGATTCAGCTAACTTCGCTGACATCCAATTCTGCAACTTCCTATTCTGTGAAATGTGTGCTTTAATAACAAGAGCTTCCTCTCAGGGTGGATGCGTGGGTAAAACAGGGAAGAGATACAGATGGAGCCTGGCACTTGCTGGCTGTTTGTCTTACAATGACTAACAGGGTCACACCTTTGAACCCAAGGACGAAGAGTTGGCCGCTGCCTTATCAGGAGTAGTGTGTGGCAGGTGGCAGGTGTCTACAGGAAAACACTCGCTTCACTTTTTGTTGCCTGAGTCTCTCTTTCTCAGGAATGGCTAATCTTTAGCTGAAGCACGTCACACTTTAGTTATGACATGTAAAATACTCCACTTCCAAGACTTGGCTTTAACTCTTTTTTTTTTTTTTTTGGTCCATTACAAAACAGTGGGGAAAAGTTAGAACATACAGACATAGAAAGAGAAAATAATACATAACTAGTTTATCATCTGGGGTAACTACTGTTAATTTCTTTTAAGAATTCAAATTCTGGGAACTGAAGAGATGGCTCAGCAGTTAAGAGTACTGGCTGTTCTTCCAGAGGACCTAGGTTCAATTCCCAGCATCCGCATGGCAGCTCACAACCGACTCTAACTCCACTTCCGGGAGATCTGATGCTCTCATCAGGCATACATACAGGCAAACCACCAATGCACATGAAATATAGATAGATAGATAGATAGATAGATAGATAGATAGATAGATAGATAGATAGACAGACAGATAGATAGATGATAGATAGACGATAGAGAGATAGATGATAGATAAATAGATGATAGATGATAGATAGATAGATAGATAGATAGATAGATGATAGATGACAGATTGATTGATTGATAGATAGATGGTAGATAGATAGATAGATGATAGAGATAGATAATTGATTGGTTGATAGATGATTGATTGATAGATGATAGGTAGATAGATAGATGATAGAAGATAGATAGATAGATAGAAGAATTCAAATTCTGTGTGCGCAGTATATACATGTGTGTGCTTGTCCAAGTGTACATGTGTGGAGGTCAGAGGTTAACATCAGACATCTTCCTCTGTCACTCTGTATCTTGTTTTCTGAGACAGGGTCTCTTGATACTTCAGCTTGGCTGGCCAATGAGTCCCCAGGATCCTTTATCCTCTAGCACGGGGGTTCTGAATGCACCTTGGTGTCCACTTGTCCACGGGTGCTGGGATCCAAACTCAGGCCTTGCCTGCGAGGACTTCACCCACTGAGCCATCTCTCCGGCCCCACCCGCTATTAGCACTTTTGGTGGGTCTTGTTAATGGGATTTTATTCCTTTCTGTTTGGTTTGTTTGTTTGTCAAGACTGTGTTTCACACACCTGGATCAGCCTTGAAGTCCTGATCCTCTCGCCTCCACTTTCTGAGGGCTAAGATTGTGGGCTTGTGTCATGTGATTTTTTTTTTTTAAGTCACATGGAACTCCTCTGCCTATCTCCCAAAAGCTACTGTATTCATGTCATGAGATGGGGGCAGGTCATCGGGAAGAACAGAGGGGTTGCCCTTTCCACAGAGCAGTTTAAGAGCCAAAGGAACTGAGAGACAGTGGGACTTGCCAGAGCCAGGGGGTTGTGCCATGGGTTAGACTCTCCCAGAAAAGATGTCCCATCCTGAGGCTGGGACAGCATCAGAATTCAGGATCACGGGTTGGAAAGCTCTCAGAGCCATGTCTTCCCAATTTATCCAGTCTAAGTTCTAGGGAGTGGCTCTCTGCCTCCCACAGAGGCTATAGAAAGGACCTGCCACGTGTGTGACGTCTCTAACCGGCCCACCTCCTTCCCCTCTCCAGGGTTCTGCCTATGACCTGCGGCAGAATTTCTCGTTGACTGTGGGACAAAGTGTTTCTTTCTGTTTGCCCACAGCTTTCACAGTTCACGAGGCTGGTGGCTTATCTCTTGAGATAGGCACTCCCGGAGCTGGCATCCCACACTGGTGTGCAGTCAAGGCACGCAGAGTCAGCACTCAGCAGGGTACAGAACAGTCTGGAAACCTGTCCAGAGTCTGCGGCCGTGGTCCCTGCCACAAGCCAGGAAGCAAAGACATCTATCGACAGTGTGGTCTGAAAAGGCTGTTTGTTAGAACTCATGCTTGCTCTCTCTCTCTCAACTGTACCCCTAAGAGAGAACAGTATCAAACCCATAAGCAAGAAAAACAGGATCTACACTCTACAATAAATTGTTTTAATTTGCGTGCCTACGAGTACATGTATGGAGATGTCTACACACCTGTATGCACACAAAGCTGGTAAAAGGTGTTGGCTGCCCTCCTCTGTCACTCTCTGTTCCTTTGAGGCAGCGTCTCTCCCTGAACCTAGGGCTGGTGTGTTTTCTGCAAGTCTGGAAGTAAGTCGGCAAACCCTAGTGATTCTCCTCACTCTCTGTCTCACCCCACCCACCGTGGAGTTGGGGTTACAGGCATTCGTGGGGTATCCAGCTTGTTATGTGGGTGCTGGCATCGAAAGCCCAGTCTTCTTGATTGTTTAACAAACACTCTTGACCAACACACACACACATACACACACAGCATGTTAGATTTTGTGAAATGGGCTGGGGAGATAGCTCAGCCACAAAAGTGTTTGCCTTGCAAGTACAAAGACGTGTGTTTGATTCCCAGAATGCATGTTACAGAAATCTGGGCAGCAGAGTCCTCCCAGCACTGGGGAGGTGGAGATGAGTGGATCCCCAGATCTCGTGGGCCAGTCGGCCTAGCTTAATTGATGAGTTTTAGGCCAGTGCTTGAGGAACAACAGGAGTCCTCTGGCCTCCATACACAAGAGCATACACACACACACACACTCATACACTCTCACACACACACACTCAGACACACATTCACATGCACACACTCACACACATACACTCTCACACACACACACGCTCACGAACACATTCACATACACACACTCACACACATACTCACACAAATTTGAAATGGACTGTAGTCTTTCTTTGTTCATCGTAAGAGACATCAGACCTGGCACTGAACTTTCAGAAGAATGAACTACATACTTTCTCTCCTTTGTCTTTTTCTTCCTCTGCATCATGAAGTTTGGCATCCTACCTACACAGCACCAAACTAAAGCTAAGGCTCAGGGAATCCCAGTGTGACAGTCTGGCGTGTCCTTCAGAGGTTTCTAGTCTCCCCAGAACTCCAAGAGAACTCTCACCCACAAAGGAAACTTCTTCAACAGGTCTGGCGACTCCCACTGCTCAAGGTAGCCCAGTCCAGCACGGGCATGCCGGGCATGCCGGGCTGTCAGGAAGCCATTCCTCAAAGAACGGCAGAAGCCCAGCCCCTGAGGTTAGCCCTGGGACAGGGAAACGCTTCCTGGAACACACCTGCTGGAACCAACGCTGGGCTTTCCTGCACGTGAACCTGGAGGGCAGATCTGTCCTACCGAGGCTCCTTGTGAGCCTCCAGACCTCAGTCTTGGCCCATGAAACAGGCACTGGAAGTCTTTGAAACCATGAAGAGATAAAACAAACACAAAAGAAAACCCCAACCTGCAAAACCCAATGCTGCCTGTCCAGCATGTTTCTTCTGACGCTCATCTTTTTCTCTGCTGGGTAGGCATTTTTGCTTTCACAGGTTTTTTTCTTCTAATTATAAAAGAGGGGCTGGGAAGAAGGCTCGGCTCTTGCAGGGGATGAGTTCAGCTCCCAGCACCCACATCATACAGCCCACAACTCCCTGGAACTCCATCCTCTGTGAGCACCTGCACTCACAAGCGTGCTCATGTGTGCACGTGTGTACACACACACACACACACACACACACAGTTTTTTGGTTTTGTTCTTTTGTTTTTCAAGACAGGATTTCTCTGTGTAGCCCTGGTTGTACTGGAACTCGCTCTGTAGACCAGGCTGGCCTCAAACTCATAGAGATCTGCCTACCTCTGCCTCCTGAGTATTGGGATTAAAGTCATATGCCAAAACTGCCGGGTCACATAGGCAGAATTTTTAAATGTCAGAAATAAAAAGAAAGAAATTACATTTTATAACTATTGACATAAAGACAAATACATCAAATATATAATAACCCATTTTATTTCACTTTAAAGTATTTTTCTCTTTCTTTCTTCTTTGTTTTACATGTGTGTGTATATATGTGTGTGTGACAGAGGGGGGGTATTGGTGTATGTACACTTAATGTGCAGGTGCACACTTGGCATGTACGCCAGAACACAGAACAGGATGTTTTGTGTCCTGTTCTATCACTCTGTACGTAGACCCTAGAGACAGGGCCTCTCACCGAATCCGGAGGGAGGCTGGCAGCCGACACGCCTCAATGATCCTACTGTTCCCATCCCCCAGAATACTGGGGTTAGAGGCACGCATTCAGCTATTCCAGGATTTTTATATGGGTTCTGGGGATTCAAACTCGGGTCCTGTGCTGTACCAGCTTTCCTACCCACTAACAAATCTCCCAGCCCCAAGGATTTTCTTTTCTCTTGTTTAAAGACAAGACTGCCATGTGTCCAAGGCTGGCCTCCAGAGTGCTGGGATCACAGGCACATGCTACCACACCCTGTGTATGCAGTGTTGGGGATCAGGCCCTGGGCTTCGTGCGTGCTAGGCAATCACTCTACCATCTGAGCTGCATGCCTGGACCCCTCGTGTAAACATTTTATGGGTTCTGGCACTGCGCTTCATGGGCCTGACGTCTAAGTGGGTTTCTGCCCCCCAAGGCACCACCTCCAGAGACCCTCTGATAGTGACAGAAGGCAGGGCTCACTCATGAAAGGAGAGACTTGCGACAGAGGAATCTTCCCAGTGAG